ATTAGGCCAGGCACAGTGGCTCACACCTGTAATCCCAGCACTTTTGGGAGGCCGAGGCAGGTGGATCACAAGGTCAGCAGTTTGAGACCAGCCTGGCCAACACTGTGAAACCCCATCTCTGCCAAAAATACAAAAATTAGCCAGGTGTGGTGGTGTGCGCCTGTAATCCCAGTTCCTGGGGAGGCTGAGGCAGGAGAACTGCTTGAACCTGGGAGGCGGAGGTTGCAGTGAGCTGAGATCGTGCCACTGCATTCCAGCCTGGGAGACAGAGCAAGACTGTCTTTAAAAAAAAAATTAGCTGGGCGTGGTGTTGGGAACCTGTAATCCCAGCTACTTGGGAAGCTGAGGCAGGAGAATCACTTGAACCCAGGAGGTGAAGGTTGCAGTGAGCCAAGATCGCACCATTGCACTCCAGCCTGGGTGACAGAGTGAGACTCCATCTCAAAAACAAAGAAAAATAAAATAAAATAAAAAGATAACCTACAGAATGGGAGAAAATATTTGCAAGTCTTATGATAAGGGTTTAGTATCTTGAACATCTTCTCCCAGAAAATAACCAACAGGAACATGAAAAGATGTTCACTCAACATCACCAATCATTAGAGAAAGGCAAATCAAAACCATAATGATGTAGCAGGACAAGCTACAGACAAAACGCCTCAGACACCGGATTAAAGAAGGAAGAGGTTTTTCATTTGGCCGGGAGCGTCGGCAGACTCGCATCTTAAGAGCCGAACTCCCCAAAGACAGAGTTCCTGGCCCTTTTAAGGGCTTACAACTCTACGGGGTTCCATGTGAAAGGGTCCTGCACATGTGGTTAGAGTGGGGGGGTTAATCTTTTAACCTCAGGCCTGGTCATCAGTGGCACCGGCTGGTCTTCCCACTGACTTCATTCCTGTTGTTTTTCAGCTTTTACTTCCTCCTCCTCCTCAGAGACAGGAGACAGTAAGAGAAATGGCTTCTCTCCTCATTCCCCACTTTGAGAACCTCACTCACGAGTGGGAGTTCTCACTCTCATCTTCACTACTCAGGTCTTCCTGCCAGTTCAGTTCCACTGACTCCTAGAGTTACATACTCTGTTTTCCAACAGGGGCTAATCTGCGTCTTTTAGGTCCAAACAGGTGAACCAGGTGTCCTCAGCTGGCAGCAACCCCAACAATGTGTCAACAGTCTTTTTGGATAAGCCGGCAACTGGGGCAGTTACTACCGAACGTTCAGCACCAGGATCGACAAGAAAATACCCCCGACTGTCATCCTGACCATAGGCTCTTTGGGGGCACTTGAGCCCGGTCCCCCTCAGTCCAATAACCCTTCCGCCAGGTTGAGCAGGGCCCCTTCCTCCTTGTCTGGGGCCTCCTGCTCTGAGTCACCTTATTTTTTTTTATTTTTTATTTTTTGAGACAGGGTCTCGCTCTGTCACCCAGGCTGGACTGCAGTGGGGCAATCTCGGCTCACTGCAAGCTCCGCCTCCCGGGTTCACGCCGTTCTCCTGCCTCAGCCTCCCTAGTAGCTGGAATTGTGAAACCCCGTCTCTACTAAAAACACCTTGCTTTCTTTTTAGCTGAGGGCATTTGTTCTTCTAACGTCCTATTTCTTTACAATAAGCACACTGGTTACGCTGCAGACTCTGACAACCAGGCTGAGTTTCTTTCCCAGGGCCCCCCACTTCACTTCCCTTGCCTCTTTGGGGGGACTCTGATGGCTGCAGCTAGCAGGTCGGCGTTTCGCCGGGCCTGACGTTCACTCTCTCTGCGGTTTTCCTTATGGCTTACTGCGTCCCTGTTTACAAACACTCGGTTAGCTATTTCTAATAACTGATGTATTCATCCCTGCAAACCCAGCGTGTTTCTGCAGTTTTCTTCTAATGTCTTCTGCGCTTTGACTAACTAAAGCCATGTTGATCATGCGCTGATTTTCAGCTGTCTTTCAGGGCTATCGGGATCAAAGGGAGTATACATATGACAGGCCTCACACAGTCTCTCGTAGAATTGTGCTGGACGCTCTTCTTTTCCCTGAATGACCTCAGAGACCTTGTTAACGTTTGTGGCCTTCTGGGCTCCCTCTTGAATCCTTCCAGGAGAGCTTCCCTGTCTCGGTTCAGCCTTTGCACACTCTCTCTTTCATCTGGGTCCCACTGGGGGTCGGTTCCTGGGAACTGGGTCCTCACATACTCTTGGGGGTTTTGGTAACCAGCCGGTACATGCTCCTCTAGCCACTCAGGCGCTGCGTGGAGCACTCTCCGCCTTTCATCTGTGTTAAAGAGGAACATGAGCAGCTGGTGGCAGTCAGCCCAGGTGGGGCTATGGGTCTGGATAAGTCGGGAGCAAATCAGTTAGAGCTTGTGGTTTTTCGTATAGGACGGGGTATTGTTGGTCGGCAGAGGTGAAGGGCTGGTACACAAGAACACGCCTCTCCACCATGTGCCCATCCTCATCTGTCCCAGGATACCGCTGCTCTCTCAGGGGCATTTGTACCCAGTTTTGGGTCGTAAATGAGCTGCCAAGGGAGGGGTTTCTCCCGAGGCTTCACCTTCTCCTCTTGTCTCCTCTGGGTGGGATATGTTTGTCTTGCGGAGGTGCAAGCATTGTGGGCTCAAGAGGGGGGAGCCTCTCTCCCTGGTAAGGGGAGGGCACCACTGGGATCACTGGTGCCATCTCCTGCAATGGGTCTTCTGGTGTTGGGTTGAACAGAACTTCAGGAGTTGATTTCCCTCAGCGGGTGGAGCGGGATTCTTGGCTGGCTGTCCCTTTGCTACTAGCACTGCTGCTGCCTGCCTGCTTAGCCACTGTGGGGGGTCTAGCACCAGCTGTAACCAAGTGTCTATGTATGGGAACTAGTCTGGGTATCCCTTACCAGTTACCTTGTGCCACACCTTAGAAACAAGGGACCTGTCCAGGCTTCCTTCTGATGGCCAACCCACTTCTAATGTTGGCCCATCGATTTCACACAAAGTTCTAAGTTTTCCTGGTGTCACAGTAACCCCACAGTCTCCACTAAATCCCTTCTTAAAATTTTTCAACATAGTTCCTAGCGAAGTGGGCTCACTTTGTGTCTGACCCATGTTTCTTTGAAATAAAACACCACGCTCACACCACACACACCGCAGAACGAAGAATGGGTAAGAAGGGCACACATGCACTTTTTCAGTTTACACCAAACCAGAATAAAAACCAAAATCAGAGTATCCAGAAATCCAAGCCAGGTCAAAATCAAATCCAAAGTATCAGGCAATTCAGGTTAAGTCAAAAACCAAAGTGCCAGTACAGGCACGCCGTGGGTGATCAGGCCACGCTTCCACTCAAATGCAGTGGGCAAGTTCCCAAGACCAGTCTTACCAAGTTTCAGACGTCCGGACTTTAAGTGCCAGTTCCTTCCCGGTGTTCGGCCTCTGTGTGGATCCTCCGCGGGTGTCTGCTGTGCACTGCTCTGACGAGACGTTCCACCGGGGCAAATGCCTACCCGGGAGCGCTCTCAGGATCCGCGTGGCTCCAGCTGGCCTGAGGCCCCACAGGGATGTTCCACAGGGCAGGCCTAAGCGACCCAAGGGGCTGCCTCGACTGTCTGTTAATCACCTCGCTTCCCGGTCAGGGAACCAAGAAATGTAGCAGGACGAGCCGCAGACAAAACTCCTCAGACGCCGGATTAAAGAAGGAAGAGGTTGTTCGTTCGGCCGGGAGCGTCAGCAGACTCGCGACTTAAGAACTGAGCTCCCCGAAGAGAGTTCCTGGCCCCTTTAAGGGCTTACAGCTCTAAGAGGTTCCACGTGAAAGGGTGATGCTAGATTGAGAGCACATGTGGTTAGACGGGGGGTTAACCTTTTAACCTCAGGCCTGGTCATCAGTGGCACCAGCTGGTCTTGCCACGGACTTCATTCCTGTTGTTTTTTAACTTTTACTTCCTCCTCGTCCTCAGAGACAGGAGACAGTAAGAGAAATGGCTTCTCTCCTCAATGAGACACCTCTTGATACACACTAGCATGGCTATAATAATTTAAAACAAGAAAATAACAAGTGTTGATAAGGACCTGGAGAAACTGGAACCCTCGTGCACTGTTGGTGAGAATGGAAATGGGTGAGACCGCTGTGGAACACAGCTTGATGGTTCCTCCAAAAATAAACATGGAGGCCGGGCATGGGGGCTCACGCCTGTCATCCCAGCACTTTGGGAGGCCGAGGCAGGCAGATCACCTGAGGTCAGGAGTTCGAGACCAGCTTGGCCAACGTGGTGAAACCCCATCTCTACAAAATGTAAATTAGCCAGGCAGAGTGGCGCATGGTTGTAATCCCAGCTACTCGGGAGGCTGAGGCAGGAGAATTGCTTGAACCCAGGAAGCGGAGGTTGCAGTGAGCTGAGATTGTGCCATTGCACTCCAGCCTGGCGACAGAGTGAGACTCCATCTCAAAAAATAAATAAATAAAGTCCAGGTGCAGTGGCTCACGCCTGTCATCCCAGTACTTTGGGAGGCCGAGGCGGGTGGATCACGAGGTCAGGAGATCGAGAGCATCCTGGCCAACATGGTGAAACCCCATATCTACAAAATACAAAAATTAGCCAGGTGTGGTGGCGGGCACCTGTAGTCCCAGCTACTCCGGAGGCTGAGGCAGGAGAATGGCATGAACCCGGGAGGCGGAAGTTGCAGTGAGCCGAGATTGCACCACTGCACTCCAGCCTGGGTGACAGAGCCAGACTCTGTCTCCAAAAATAATAAAAAAATAAAAAAATAAAAATTAAACATGGAGTTACCACATTACCCAGTAATGCCACTCCTGGGTACACACCCAAGAAAAATGAAAAGAGGTGTCCAAAATAGCCCTGAATGTGCACAACAGATTACTCACAAGGGCTGAAAAGCAGAAACAACCCAGGTCCGACAAATGAGGAACCAAAATGTGCTCTATCCACGCGATAGCTTCTTATTCGGTCACAAAAAGAAACCAAGTACACGTGCTCTGACATGGGTGAAAATACTATGCAAAGTGAAATAAGACACGAGGCCATGATTGTGTGATTCCATTTATATGAAACGTCCAGAACAGGGAGAACCTATTTTAGACAATAGAGACAGAAAGGTGGTTAGCAGTTGCCAGGGGAGGAGGAAGACGGGAGGGGAAATGATTGCTTCCTGCGGTGATGAGAGAATGTTCCGGAACGTGACAGAGGTGGTGTCTACACAACTTTCTGGATGTACTAAATGCCGCTGATCATTTACTTTAAGGTGATTGATTTTTAGGTAAGTTGAATTTCACCTCAATTAAAAAACCCAAACACACAAACTGCTCCCACCAGCTCAGTCCCGAGCAGACGGCGCTGCCCATGGAGGATGCCCAGCCACCCGGGCTTCTCCCTGCCCGCTTCCCTGTCCCCGTCCTGGACTCTTCTTCTCTCTTTTGCCTTTAATCCACTCTGCCCAGTCATTGCTCGTGTTCTTCCTACCTGGCCGACTTCTCTCTCAGTATTTCCTTGGTGAAACATCCTAAGAGGAAGTTACATTAGAGAAAAGCGCATTTCATCTCACAGGCCGTAAATAGGGCCATTTAGGAAGCCATGTGTTAATGAGGGGAGACGGATGCTCCTTGCTGTCTGCAGGGATACCGGGTACCAGGCGAGGCAGTTACCAATCATGTGTGTGTTTAGGGCTCAGGAAAGCGAAGGAGAAGCGGGCCAGGGTGGTGGGGCCGCTCCACAGTGCCCAGCGCTCCAGACTTCACTTCTGGTCCCGCTCCTGGGCGGCCACGAAGTTCAGCAAGTCAATGGCAGTGACCACCCCGAACACCATCTGCCGCTGACTGGACTTCCCGGTGCTGTGGTCTGAGGGGAGAACGAGGCAGCGCGTCTGCAGGTGCCGCGGGAGGCTGGGCGGGCTGCTGCGGGGCAGGAGGCTCCTGGGGGCCTAGGGGACCTACCTGTGCACCGTGGGGGCCCCAGGGCGGCCTGCTGGAGCCCAGCAGCCAAGGCTGTGTTGTTTTTTTTTTTTTCCCCGAGACAGAGCCTCACTGTCACCCAGGCTGGAGTGCGGTGGTGCAGTCTTGGCTCACTGCAACCTCCACCTCCTGGGTTCAAGTGATTCTTGTGCCTCAGACTCCCAAGGAGCTGGGACTTCAGGTGCACATCACCACACCCAGCTAATTTTTGTATTTTTAGTAGAGATGGGGTTTTGCCATACTGGCCAGGCTGGCCTCGGACTCCTGACCTCAAGTGATCTACCTGCCTTGGCCTCCCAAAGTGCTGGGATCACAGGCTTGAGCCACTGGGCCTGGCCAAGCCTCTTCTGATATGAGCCCCATGGGGTCCCAGGCCAGGCTCTACCCCCACCCCATGAGTCCCATGGGCCCCAGGCCAGGCTCCACCCACCGCATGAGTCCCCTGGGCCCCAGGCCAGGCTCCACCCACCGCATGAGCCCCCTGGGCCCCAGGCCAGGC